AAAACAAACAAAAAAAAACAAAAAACGTTTCATTAACTAGGGGATTTTTTTTTTTGTTGTTGTTGTTTTTTCATTTTTAAAATCCACAACATTTTTTCCATAAAATATTTAATATACATTGGGAAATATTTTACAATCTCTGGACACAATCAAACTTCAAACACAAAACATGAGAATGAGAGGGCAAGAGAAATATTTAAATCGCATTCAATTAAAATTTAGTGACAGATCTTTTTCTCCATATCACACATACAAGTGTAACAGATTATCAAAAAAAGAAAACAAATGTAGGATGGGGACTTGGTTCTGTGCATTGGTTGTTGACTGGATGTTGCAACGTGGGTGTTCTAGTCAGACAGATGAGCTTGCAGGGATGCTGTAAGAGTGGAAAAATAACTGGAGATGTCCTGCACGAGAGAAGTCTGACATTTCACCAGAAGGCCCAGTAATGACATTTTGATTAAACATTACAAGGTCAAAAAAAAAAAAATAAGCATATGCATGGATGAATTGTTCACATTAACATCTATAATATGCACTTTGAATATAGATTTTAGAGAATTTCCATTTCATACCTACTTTAAGATGCCATTATAAACACAAACATGCAAACAATCAAAATACTTAAACACAAAATCTAACTCACACACACTTTGAACCAAACTGCAAGAACATGTACTGTAACCCTGCTGACACAAATGTGACCCTGGACCACAAAACCAGTCATAAGGGTCAATTTTCGAAATATTAAACCAATTTTCGAAATTATACACCATCTCAAAGCTGAATAAATGAGCTTTCCATTGATGTACGGTTTGTTAGGATAGGACAATATTTGGCCGAGATACAACTATTTGAAAATCTGGAATCTGAGGGTTCAAAAAAATCTAAATATTGAGAAAATCACCTTTAAAGTTGTCCAAATGAAGTTCTTAGCAATGCATGTTACTAATCAAAAATTAAGTTTTGATATATTTACAGTAGGAAATTTGCAAAATATCTTCATGGAACATGATCTTTACTTAATATCCTAATGATTTTTGGCATAAAAGAAAAATCAATCATTTTGACCCATACAATGTATTTTTGGCTATTGCTACAAATATACCCCAGCGACTTAAGACTGGTTTTGTGGTCCAGGGTTACAAATATGAATAACTAAAACATGCTCTTGGCTCTCCTCACAAACTGCTTAAGAAGATCAAAGGGAGTTTTTAGAGCCAGATGGTGGTGCTTCTGTTTCTGATGGATGCTGCTGTTGTAACATCTGCACTGAACCAACTCTCTGACCACAGGTACAGGAGACAAAACCTCAAAATCATTCATGCCAAAGCATCCCGAATAATGCTGAATCCATTTGAAACTTCAGTTGTTTAAGGAGACATGTAAGCATTCCTACATCCTAAATCATGGGAGTTTATATGTCGTTCAACTAACTGTTCAAATGGACCAACATTTGTACACTGTCATGCAGCTATAGCATGTTTTTCAAAGCTGTACTCAGTGCATCAGGGCGCACAGAGACTGCTGCCAACCAATCAGAGCGAGGCAGTGCAGAGGAGGCAGCCAGTGACAGCACAGCTGTGCTGTGTAGTGAACATGGGGGGAATAGAACAAATCTGCTCTCATCAGAGAACATCTGCATGCAATCCGAAGCCAGAGAGAGAGAGATGGGGGTATAGCTGCGTGTCACTCAATTAATTTGCTTTCTGACAATGCAAATGAACCAATCAAGAATCCTCTTTTAGGAACTGTCCAGGGTTCTGAAATGCTCCAAAATGCTGGATCAGCATACATTTACAATTAATCAGCAATTAAAAGCAGAATCTTCTATTGAGACACCAAATGTTTTATATTATATGGTAAAATGTAATTTATTCTTGTTATGGCAATGCTGAATTTTCAGCATCATTACTTCAGTCTTCATTGTCAAATGATCCTACAGAAATCATTCTAATATGCTTATTTGCTGAAGAAACATTTATTATTATTATTATTATTATTATTAATGTTGAAAACAATGTTGTTCTGCTTAATATTTTTGTTGAAACCATTATACTTTTTTTCAGGATGCTTTGCTAAAAAGTTCAAAAGAATAGCATTCATCTAAAATTGGAATCGGAAACTTTTAAATGCAAAAATTATAATTGTCTTTACTGTCACTTTTGTTCAGTTGAATGCATCCTTGCATCCATAAACTATTCATTTATTTAAAAGTCTTACTGTCACTATAATATATTTTACACAATAGTGTGTATTGTTTATATTATGTGTGTAGGGAAAGATTTGTAATACCAATTGTAATACCAGTACCCATTCTATTCTCATATACACTCACCAGCCACTTTATTATTATCAGGTTGGACCCGTTCTTCATGGCATAGATTCAACAAGGTGCTGGAAACATTCCTGAGAAATTTTGGTCCATAGTGACATGATAGCATCATGCAGTTGCTGCATATTTGTTGGCTGCACATCCATGAAGCATATCCTCCATTCCACCACATCCCAAAAAAACTCCACTGGATTGAGATCTGGTCACTGCTGAGGCCATAAGAGTATAGTGAACTCTTTGTTATGATCAAGAAACCAGTTTGAG